CTGTCCTGTCACCCCCCCCCACCGCCCCCAAAAAAGAAAAGAAAATCCTGGTATTAGTTCTTTCTTAACAAGTTTTCCTTTTCCTTTGAATTAAAAAGTCAAAGTCTAAGATTAACTTTCTGAAAACCATCCTGGCTTACTTCAATGCTGTTGAATAACAAGCTGAATTGTTAATATAGCATGAATTCAGTGTAATTCTACTTAGTTAATTTTTTCTGCAAGATAATCTAAAGAAGTAAACATATTTCTTTTCTTTGGCCTATTTGTTAAATTAGACATTAGGGGAAGGTACGTTCCTGAATGGTAGAGGACCACATAAAATGTGAGGAAACTATGGCAATGTTTGATTTTAATGATTGCCACTGCAAATTTGATTTGGCTAGGAAGTACTGTTTGATCCTCGTGCCCTCATGGGAATCCATTCTAATGCTGTGAGTGCCTTGGTTATAATCAAGCCGTGGAGGAAAGTGACATTGAACACTAGTGAGATAAGCTCTTTATTGGGGTTGCTTTTTTAAATGTTCAAGAACATTGCCAGTAATGCTGTATTAGTTTCCCATTGCTGCTGTAACACATTACCACAAATTTAATGTCATAAAACAATAAAAAATAATTTTCTTACAGTTCTAGATATCAGAATCTCAGAATGGGTCTTAAAGGCTAAAACAAAGATGTTGGCAGGGCTGTGCTCCTTCTGGAATATTTGTTCCTTGCTTTTTCTAGTCTAAAAGTTTACAGCATGCCTTGGCATGTAGCCTTTTCTCACCTCATTCTAATCTGTATTTCCATCATTACATCTTCTCTGACTCTGACCCTTGTAAGACTCTGATTTTCTAAGGACCCTTGTGATCAGATTGGGCCCACCTGGATAATCCAGGATAATCTCATCTCAAGGTCCTTAACTTAATCACATCTGCAGAGTTCTTTTTGCCAAATAAGGCAGCTTGTTCGTAGGTTCTAGGGATTAGAGTGTGGGCATCTATGAAGGTCATTATTTTGTCTGCCACAGACCCCTTCTAGTCACTCAGATTGTCACTGAGATATCATCTTCTCAGAGAGGCTTCCAGGACCACCTAGAATTCCATTTACCCTGGTCACCTGTTTACCATCTTATTAAATCTGAGAATAGTATATTTGTTTTTTAAATTTATTTTTTTATTTAGTTGTTAATTTTTTGTCATTTTATTTGTCATTTTCTGTCTCCCCATATTAGATGATAAACACTAGAGCAGAAACAGTCTTCTCCACTACCTTGTCCATCAAATCAAAATAGTTCCCAGCACTTGGTAGACTCTCAGAAGATGTTGAATGAATCAGTCTGTATATAGTCTAAGGAAGCCTTCCTTACATTAAAACTATATTAATACAATTCTATTCCAATCAATAATGCAAACTTTTTTTTTTTTTTTAACTAAATAACAGTTAAACATGCTATAAATAGATTTTCTTTTGAATTTAAATAATGGTTTTCTCCTTAGGGCATGGGTGAGATCAATAAAATAAAATACCAGTTATAAAATGAAGCTGCAGGAAAAAGAAAATATAAGCAATTAGACAAATTAATGCAAATAGTAAATATCTTCTTAAAAAGAATGGTAATGTTATCTTGATCCAAGCTGTAATCATGATGCCATGATGAATAAGAGATGATCTCTGCCCTGTTCACCACAATAAATGCGGAGAAAGAATGGAGGAGAGAGAGATTCATTTTAACTGAGACATCAATTCTAGTAAGCAGAGCTTTCCTTAGGCTGTTTCCAAAACAGAGTAGTTAGCACTTCAGGAAACTCAAAGAGCTTTTAGACAAAAGGAAAGACATTATCCATTGACATGGCATTTAGAACAACTCTGATGGAAGGACTGCATTTTATAAGCAGGTAATTTATAGCTGTTCAATTGTCGTTCGTTTATGCGTCCAAGTGATTGATAAAACAAACTCTCAAATGAGTAAGTCAGGAAATACTTATTGAGTGCGTGATGCTGGTCAGTACTGAGGCCCTGATAGCAAACTGAATGGTACTGAGGAGGAGGAGGAAAGGAGATTGGAAGGGGTTGGGAAGACTTTGTGGAAGAGGAGTATTTGGACTGAATTGTGTACTCTCCAAAATTTGTATGTTGAAGCCCTGACCTCTAATGTGACTGTGTTTGGAGATAGGGCCTTTGAAAAAGTAATTAGGGTTAAATGAGGTCAAAATGTGGACAGACCTTAATCCAAAATGACTAATGTCCTTACTGGAAAAGAGAGACAGACAGATAGACAGAGAGGGATAGATAGATAGATAGATAGATAGATAGATAGATAGATAGAGATATGCAAGGGATGTGCATGAATAGAGAAAAGGCCTTGTGAGGACACATGGGAAGGTGGCTGGCTGTCTGTAAGCCAAGGAGAGAGGCCTCAGGAGAAACCAAATCTGCCAATACCTTGATCTTGGACTTCTGGCCTCCAGAACTGTGGGAAAGTAAATTTCTGTTGTGTAAGCCACCTAGTTTGTAGTACTTTGTTATGGCAGACTGGCAGACTATTAACAAGGAGCAACTTGATCTAGGTCTTGAAGGAGAGATAGGGCCATTTCTGGAAAATGGCATTGACGAAGATCACTGCACAAGGGCCTGGTTCTGAAAAGCACTCAGCAGAAGTGGTGAACAAAAGCCACAGAAAAAGTTGGAACACATATAGCTTGTTGTATTAAAGAGCAGAAGAGAGAGCTGAGTGTGAATCAAGTGAGAGTCCTTGGGGATTTGAGTGCCATTATGTCTGGAGTAGGGGAGGTGATTGTGGAGGCTCTTGCTATGCAGGGAAAGTTTGTATTTGAAACAGTAGAAAATCTAGGGCTTACATTTGAGAATTTGGTGAGAAATCTATTTTAGAAAGATAAGGGAGAATATAATCTGTGCCAGATGTGGAGATGAAAGGTAAGGTGTGGTTCCAAGAACTGTCATAAAAATGCAAATCAGAACCACAATGAGCTACCATCTTACAGCTGTTAGAATGGCTGTCATCAACAGGACAAATAATAACAAGTATTTGAGAGGTCGTGGGGAAAAAAAACCCTCATACACTCCTGGTGGGAATGTAAATTGGTACAGTTTCTATGGAAAACAGTATGGAGGTTCCTCAAAAAACTAAGAATAGAATTACCTTATGACCTAACAATCCCTCTTCTGGGTATCTACCCCAAATACTTGAAAACATTTATCTGCAAAGGTATATGCACTCTGATATTCATAGCAGCATTGTTCATAGTGGCCAAGACAAGGAAACAACCAGAGTGTCCATCGATAGATGATTGGATAAAGAAGATGTGATATGTATATACAATGGAATATTACTCAGCCATAGGAAAAGATGAGATACTACCATTTGTGACAACATGGATGAATCTTTAGATTATCATGCTAAGTGAAATAAGTCAGAAAAAGTTGAGAACCATATGATTTTACTCATATGTGAGATGTAAAACTAAAAGTAACAAACAAACATGACAAACAAATAGTGACTCATGGATGTGGATAGTGAATTAGTAGTTACCAGCGGGTTGGAGGGAAGGTTGGGGGAGGTAGATAGAGATAAAGGGGGTGAAATATTTGGTGGCAGAAGGAAATTTAACTTTGAGTGGTAAATACAATGCAATATACATATGACAATATTGAATTGTACACTTGAAACCTATTCGATTTTATTAACCAATATCACCCCCAAAATTTAATAAAAATAAAATTAAATGTGAAAAAAAAGAAGGCAGAATTTGGTGATAGCCAGGATATTATTGGAAAGAGGGAAGGTTGAATGGTTAATGAGGTTAATGAGACTGAGAGATGGCTCTTTATCCTTAGGATTTCATGAAGATTGGAATGTTTGCAGCTGAGGTACTGCATTCTCCCACCCTCACTGCTTTTAAGTACTTAAAAACAGAGGGGTTATCCTTTCCTTCAAAAAAGCTTTATTATTATTAGTTAAGTGCTCTCCTTTCACCTGATACCATAAGTTTACTGTGTGTGAAAATCCCAGGGATGGTTCAGGTGCCCTTTATGTTCAACAGAATCCCAGGATGTGCACTGGTTCTCAGGGAGCAGCACCATCTGCCTCACATGCTACATAAATAGAGTTGCTCAGATGGTTTTTATCTCTAAAATAGTGTTTGCTTTTTTTTTTTCCTTGCTGTAGGAATTATACATGTTTATTTTAGAAAGTTTGGATACTATAGAAACAAAAACAAAAAATTCAAATAATTCATAGTATTGCTTAGATATAGTTATTGTTAATATTTGGGAAGTCAAACAGAATGAATAACTTTGCTTCCTCCTTTTTTTCAGTTAATGCATGTGATTATTCAATATGTTAATATTATGTTATTGGTAACACTACATTTTTGTAGTTTAGAGTCTCTTGTGATTTTCTCTGCGAGTTTCAAGAATAGCATGGGAAATAGTGATGTTTTTTCCCAAGAAAATGTTGATTGGTGAATTTGCAATAGATGGGCAGAGGTTCACTTATGCTCTTAGGAAGATGTAGAAACCTCTATGAAATGTTTGATAAATTAGAACAGAAATATTTTTAAAGTATATCTTTAAGACAGGATGAAAAGGTGTTTTTTTTTTTTTGATCACATTCATCATATTATTTTACTCTTGAATTGAACATATTTTGCTCTATTTCTTTTTAATGTACAAAACTTAATTTTAAAGGAGCCAGCCATGTAATATAAAATAAAGTGAATGAAGTGCAGTTTTCTTGGAAATCAAATGTTTAGCCACTTGAGATAAGCCAGGAAGGTAGGGCACTTGCCCTCCTTGATTGGGTGGTGTTTGATTTCAAATTGGTGAATGCTTGTCTTCTAAGAAGCTGCAGATTTTACTTTGTTTTCATTCAATTTCCATTTTGAACTGTTTTCTAATTTATGATATATTGTAAACCTTTTTCGAGTGATCGTAAGAAATGCTTATCATCTGATTGCTGTGGCCGAATAATAAATACCTCTTATCTTTTTGTATTGCAGTTGACTCATGTGGATCAGGCAAGCTTCCAGGTTGATGTCTTTGGAACATCTTTTATTCTCGATGTCGTGCTAAACCAGTAAGTCTTTGTCCGATACACATTGAATCTACTTTCTTATCCTTCTGTAAAATTTTGTTTTCTTACTATATTTTACTTCATCTTCCTATATCAATCAAATACCACATTTAAAACTATTATATCTCTTGATATAATATCTATTATATCTATTGTAAGTTACAAAATCTGGCAAATAACAATAAATAGATATCCATTTGAAATTGAAAAGCTGCAACAAATATAAGAATCTAAAATGGAGGGCAAGACTTACTCCAGTATTTTTCATAAGAATGTATGTGACTTTAAGTTCCTATGAATTACAATAAATTGTGAAAATAATACTTTGGGTTTTGAAACATCTTTCTTAACAGCAGAAAAGAGAAAGTTACCCTTTTGCTCAATGATTCAGAAAACTGGCTACATGATGTATGATTCTTAATAATGCCATTAGATACTTTGATAATACTATATTAAAGAATACAGTATTCCTTAAACACTGTATTTAAAGAATAATCCCAGTACTCTATGAGGATTAGGGTACTGGGATTATTCTTTAAATACAGTATAATTTTGGAAATTGTCATTTGTCTACCTAGAATTTTAGGTTTGAAATAACAGAATTTTAGGTTTGGAAATGGCTTTTGATGAATCACTGGATTTAATCTCTTCCCTTTGGGTAAGTATAGTGTCTGTAAGTCTTACCGCACATCTAGTTGTTCACTTTTTTAAAAAAGCATTTGTACCCCATTTCCTATAGGCAAGTGGGAAGAGATCATGCTCTGCCATTCATGTTTCTGAGCTGAGCAGCACTGGAATATGGCTTTGCTGAAATCAGCTATGCAAGAGCTCAGTAAGAAAAATTTGAGGCCAGAAAGACAAGAAATGTAGACTTAGAGTGAGAACTAGAACCTAAGGTGTCTACATCGGGGAACTAGGTAGGTGGAAGACTATGAGTTAATAACAAAAGAATGCAAGAGGCAAGACTTAGAGCTGTGTTGTCTGGATTAGTAGCCACTAGCCTCTTGTGGCCATTTAAATTAATTCACTTAAATAAAATTTAAGATTCTGTTTTTCAGTTGCATTAGCTACATTTCTAATGCTCCATAGCCATGTGTGGGTAGTGGTTATCTTATTGGATAGCGCAGAACATTTCCAGCCTTGCAGAAAGTTCTGTTAGACAGAGTTTAGAGATTTCTTTTGGGGAACAGGCACATGTGTACTTTTAGATTACTGAGCTAGGTCTGTCAGTATTCAGGAGCAAAATTCACTTCTTTCTTTTAGATTTAGTCCATGTTCAACGGGTTAATTTAATAATTAATTTTACTAGTATTCTAATTTTAATGGAATTTATTTATAAATTTGTGATAATACCATTTTTGGTATATAAATATTTAAGTCATGTATTAGTTTATTTTTTTAGTTCTCTGTTTTATAGGGACATTTTGTAAGTAGTTCTCCCCTCTCCCCACATTTTTGTAGTTCACAAACAATTTAAATACTGAAAAGCATTGTGTTAGATGGAAATTTACTGTTTGGATGATCCAATAATAGGAGTTCTTCTCTGATTATTTCTTTAACTTAATTTCATAGGGCATGAGTAATATTGTGTTAATGTGATCTGTATCTTATATTCCTGTTTATGTAAATACCCTAAAATTTACAGGTTTAAATGACTCATTTCAGTTTTTCATCAATTCCAATATTATAAAGTTTTTAAAGACTCATTGTAGAGGAATGCATACTTCTTAGAAAAATAATGAATAAGTAAAAAATCAATCTTACATAATTCCACTATTTGGAGACTGATTGCTTTGTTTTAAATTGTAACCCTCTCTGCCCTCACTCCGCCATCCACCCTACTGCCTGTTCTCCTTTTTTTTTTTTCATTTAAAAAATAATATTCATCACCATTTAATAGATAGCTTTACTTATGTGAAATTGCCAATTTTCCAGGGCAAAAATTTGACTACAAGCATTGTCATATGGTCAACTAATACTCTATATTTTAATTATTTATTTTGTTTGTTGTCTTTTTCCTCCCTCTAAAATATAAGCTCCTTGAGGGCAGAGATTTTCTTTCCTTCACTGTTGTATCCTTAGAGAATAGATGTTAAATTCCAGGCTGGGAAGTCATATTGACTTAGAAACCAGAGGCTGGAATTAGCTGAGAAACAGAGATGACTGGATGAGGATTGAGGCTGTCAGTTGGGGAAGAGTGAACCAGCAAACAGGAAAAAGAAGATAAATGTTTAGGACTAGCTTCTAAAAACTGAGCAAATGTCTCTAGGTGTGACTTGGAAAGTCAGGTTCCTGGGTTTCTATTTCAATGACTTTCCTGTCCCTCTTTTAAATCGTTGTTCTTTGGCTAGCTAGGCCTTGGTTACTGGTTCCTGACATTTGTCAACACCTTGATTTTCAGTACTCAAACAAAGAAGGGTTCTCGATTCATGTCCATTCTGCCCAGACCACCTCACTTCCTTGGGAGAAATCTGAGCCCCAAAACGTTCTATTCCTGAAGGAGAAACACATATGACCCTACTTATCAGAGCATAAACTTAAAATATTAGGGGTGAAACAGAATTTCTTTGAAGATCCTGGCAAGAACTTTTATTGGGCATTTTTTTCTTATTGCAATGGAAAATCGAAATTACAAGAAGTACAAAGGATGAAATAATAGCATAAATGGAGATAACTGGACTGAGAAATATGAGTGCCTTTTTTTTTTTTTTTGCCTGGCATCTATATTAAACAAATGTGTCAGGTAGTTGATTTCTTTATGCTATAAGAGCTATGAAGATTTTTATTTATTTACTTTTTAAATTTTAAATTTTTATTTTTTATGCCTACAGCACCTGGTCTTCCTAGGTGGTCTCCTATCCAATTACTAACCAGGCTCAACCCTGAGAGCCATGAAAATTTGATACAATATTTTTTTCTTATTTTTATGGGGAATATTTTTATTTCATGATTTTAGTTTATATATCATCTGTGGTTGTGTTGGTTAAGAAATAGGAAGGTGAAAAATTAAATATGTTCTTTGAAAGCTCTTTTTCTTATGAAGCAATCTAGGGCTATGGAACAGGTAGAGTTTTTTGTTTTGTTTTAAACTGGAGGCAAATTAAATCTCTGTGTAGCTGGATTACAATAATATAGATTTTTAGATTGGAAATTTCACTCTTTAGGACAGATATAATAATAAAACTGAACATATGGCCTGGCTTGGTCAAACTAATCCTGAGGCCACGTTGGACCTTTCTAGAGGTCAGCGACTTGTATTATATTTTATTGTGAAATGTTCCTCAGAAAGAAAAAGGCTTAATAAAGACATTTCGCTATATTACTTGAGCAGTTCAAGCCAAGTCTTTTCCTCTAATCCATCTCCTATTCTTTAAGAAGTGGATAATTAAATTGCTGAAAGTAACACATAAATACTAAAATATTTCCTTCCAATACTCCTTGATCCTTTTACAACAGGTGACCTGACAAAAACAAACCACTCACAATGTGGACACACACACACACACATACACACATATAGGCAAATACTCTATATGGACTGTGATTGGTTGGTTTTAGAATGTGAAACATATAATTAGGAAGAAAAAAACATCTTTTATAACCTCGTTTTTGGGAAGGGATTTCTTGGTACAGCTCACAGATTTTGGATGATTCTACTCCTAATTTTTTACTGTATTTTATAGATTCTCTCTTCTTATTTCAAGAACAATAAAAATAGTTTCTTTTATTTATGATCCCTATTTCACAGTGAGCAGTGGGGATGACAGCTAGGGACTCAAACACGAAGCTGCCAGCAAATGGGGTTGCTCATGCAGAAATGAGAGGTGTTGTGTAGGTGGGGAGTAGTTTGGGAGTAGTAGGAGCAAGGTCAGACGAGAAAGTTAGGTCTGAAAGAGACTCATTAACCTAATGCTCTATTTACAGTGTGATAAGTAGAATGTTTATAGTATGGATAAAAATAAGTGATGAGGATAAGATTATAATTAAATGATGTTATGTGATGACAGTGAATAGCATCTCTCACTGTTAATAAATCTATAACTATATATCTTGCTGTTCAACTAAATTAATATGGTTAATATTTGTTAATATGTACACTTAATACAAAATTATTGTGTAGAAGACAAATCTGTATTAAACAGCCCTTATCAATATATGTTCACATATATTAATATAATGTATATGCATATACACACATTTGTATATGTACACAGTATATGTGAATATAGACACATTCATATGCACACACACCTGTATACATTTCTTAAGCCTCTAGTAAGTGCTAAGAGATTTTTTTTAGGCCATGAGGATTTAGTAGAAGCAGAAATAAGCACTCTACTCTTAGAGTGCCTACATTCTAGTCAGAAAGACAACATGTTCATAAAGTAATTTCAGGCACTGATAAATCTATAACTATAGTGCCATTAATTGCAAGTGTCTGGTATGACTGTGAGGATGTTATTTGAGCAATGGTTGTCAGGGACAACTCTGAAGAGATGACTTTTGAACTGAAGGGGCCCCCAGGCATAGACCACAGTGCATCAAGGCCCTGAGGCAGGAACAAGTTTAGCATGTTTGAGAGACAGGAAGATGTTTTAGGAGGTAGGAACAGGGTGAGTCAAGAGAGTTGTTAAATGAAGTTGGAAAGGTAGCAAGACCTCAGTCATGGAGGGCCTCATAGGCCACAGGAGAGACTGGATGATGGTCTGAGCAGAGGTTGCTGATTTTTCCCACATCATATCCTTTATTTATCATATTTAGTTACTATGTATTTTAATGTCTTTTTAAAGCAATCTCTTTTGAAGATCTATTCATTAATTATTGGGCCTAGTACCACTGTAGAATTTATTATAGCTTTATAAGTGTTTTAATATATAGCATGGAAAAGTCTCCCATTATTAGTTTTCTTTTGAGAAATTTCTTAGATATTTTTGCCTTTTTTAATATGGAAATTTAGACTAATTTTGTTCCCTTTTTTTTAGAATTTTAAGTGGACTGTCACT